CAAGAATAGTAATAAAACTTGTGTTTTTATTTATCTCCATTCAATAATTTTAAAACATGCCTCTATCTCTGTTATAATGGTCAGCATAATGCATAGACACGCATTACTTCTGTTTCTTAAAATTAAGGAAGCAGAAGCAGAGGTCTACAGTTCTAGTAATATACATTTTTGAAGTTTCTATTTTAGTTTTCAGCGCCATATGTCAGTCACCTGCGATAACTCGCACCACTTTGGTTGCAACCAATATGCACAACTTCAGGGGTGTTTGAGAATTTACGTGTTTATCGCTTACAACTGGTTACATAATTGAACATTTAGTGCAGTATTTAATATACTTTATAATATTTTAGGCTAATACTCTAATGACTTAAAATTTAACTTAAATTAACTTTTGCACTAGCAGCTAATAATACATTTGATGGAAGCCCCCCCCCCCCGCTCTGTGGTTTCGTCCTTTACCGGAAGACGTTTGTGTTTACAGCAGCTTGGCTTTTTTATCACCTTGTTTGACCACAAACTACGCTCAACAATAACCGTAAATAAGTTTTAGATTTTTTCCATTCTGATATAACTAGCTTGTTTAATTTAGAGCCATCCCCACGGTTAGCATGACGGTTTGGGGGCTAACGAGCTATCGACAAGCTGGCTAACGACGTCGCGACGAAGTTAGCCAGCAAAGGCAACCGACCCCATCGGCTAACTCTCGGCACACGTCCAGCGGTTAGTACAGCTTGTGCGGTAATTCAGGTTTGTCCGCTTCACTCTAGCAGGTGCTTCAGTGCGCATTGTTAGCGAGAYGCGCTTTATGTGTCGGTGTTTCCTCCCCGTAGAACCGCCGGCCAGGAAGAAGTGCGGCCATGGGTGCGGAGAGCAGTGGGCTACGGGGCTGCACTCTGCTGGGGGAGCCGCTCATGACCCTGCCCTCTGGACTCMCCATGTACTCCGCGGTTCTCCGGGACGGAAAGCCCGCCTCTGTGTTTGTTCACAAGCGGGGCAATGAAGATAAAGTCAACAAAGCTGCCAAGGTGTGTACAGTCAGGCCTCAGCATTCGGGTACTTCTCAACGTAGCAAGAACATAAACATGATCACTAATAGTTTGTCTTTCACACAGTCGTGTCTRCATCAGATGAAAGCTTAATTGCATCATTTTTCATCTTCATCCATGTCTCTTTTAACTGGAAAGAGAAAGCCCCAATGCAATTATTGTCCATTTCCCTCTAACTGTTATGGTTACATGAAACAGCAGGATGTGGCTGTGCAGACTATAATTCATGCATATTTTATCATATTGGATTTTAGCACAAGGCAAACTTTTGGCTTCATGCAAAATTCACCTCTAGATTTGGTATTATCATACCCTAAAAAGTAAAAACTTTTTTTTTCGTCTTGTTTGTGAAGTTTAATAGCTTTAAGGCAATTTTTTTAAGAATAAAGAGTTACTTTAGTTATTTTCCCTTGATCAAACATATAAAATTATTATTTTATTTGATTTTTTTGTCATATTTGAAAGTTGACTGATTATGTTTGCCTGATTTTATTGTAAAGTGTCCAAGAGCGTTTGAAAGACACTGTTTAAAGAAAATGTGTTTTCATCACTATACCACCACATACATGCATAAATGTAAAGATATGAGAATAAATTGTGCATTGTAAAAATAGTAAATGATCAAGAAATGGTCTTTTTTTCATCTTATGTATAAAGTAAGTCTGATATTTAAGTCTATTATAAAATCATTACCTTTCACTGCCACTAAGCCAAAGATAGGGGAAAAAAAACTTCCCCCTCTGCATTTTATTTTAAAGGGGCAATATTATGTGCTTTCCAAGCCTATATTTCAATTTTATACTAAAATAAAGTAACTATGTCACATTCTCAGCTTACGAAAGAGCTATAAATTTGTAAAAACCTCCAAAACAATTTACTGCCATGAGGAAGTTCGGCTTAAAGACGCATCCCAGAGGTGTTTCTGGTCCCCACCTGTCGTTTTGCTCCTCAGCATTTCTTCCTAAAAACGCTGCAGGATTTCTCAAACATGCATGAATGAGTCAAAGCAAGGCTTTGGGCATGTTTTTTATGAGAGTGTAACATTATAACATGATATAAAACTCAAAAAAGTTGATTTTACACGATATTGCCCCTTTAAAGTGCTAGTTTTATGTTTATCTTTAGTTTCAAATATGTGGGACCAAATTATAGCTGAAAGATTGATTCAAGTACACTTCTTTTATCCTTTTTTTTTTTTTCTTTCTACAGCATCTGAAGACGCTGCGGCACCCGTGTCTGTTGCGCTTCCTGTCCTGCTCCGTGCAGGATGGTGACATCCATCTGGTAACAGAACATGTGCAGCCTCTGGAGCTGCTGCTGGACGGTCTCTCCCCTGAGGAAATCTGTGCAGGCATCTACGACATCCTGCAGGCACTTGTCTTTCTGCATGACAGGGTGAGCAAGATGAGGATYTTTTAGCTTTTGTTGCGTGCTCATAATTTCCTGCTTTTATCATTTTTTTATACCTGTAGTTTAAAAAAAAAGCTAAAGATTCRATTAGAAAAGAATATAATTGGCCCATTGTATGTTTGCCTTTCAGCCTTTGATAAATAACTGTCTCTGTCATCCATCAGGGTAAACTGAGCCACAACAACGTCTGTATTTCGTCGGTGTTTGTCAGCGAAGATGGTCACTGGAAACTGGGAGGGATGGAGACTGTGTGCAAGTTCTCTGAAGCAACTCCTGAGGTGAAACATTAGAATAAATTTATAACCAAGACACAGTTTGAAATAGGGCTGCACACTGTTAGAAAAACCTTACTCTAACCCTGCGCTATATATGGTGATATGAAAAAATACAGGAGTTTTCAACAGGTGACTTGAATAACACTAAGTTCGGCTGCCGTCTTGTTGACGATGAACTGCACTCTTACGTCATTTTTTGTGCGTGTGTGCACTTTTTAAAAAAAAWTTTTTATGTCTGTATTTGAGTTATCTTTTAATGTGCTGGTACTTGAGTACATGTTTCRTTCTATCATGTGTGTATTGCGTTTTACCACCTAACGTGTTGCCTCTGTGTCTTAGTTTGATTCCATCGTGCTTTAGTATTAGCATTCATGCTAACAGTATTGTACCTCTTTTCCTTAAGTCCTCTGGAAATTTACTAAGTCGTTGAGATCCTCGTCATCTTCCTCCACAGCTCAAGAACTCACTGACGCTTTTTAAAAAATATTTTGAAAACGTAGCCGTTACTGTACCAGAAGTTTCATAACAAAATGAAAGTTTTCACTTTTTCGCCACAGAGCCTATTGCTTTTGCCGGCGGAAGCAACCTGTCAAAATAAAAGCCATAACAAACATGTTACAAAACATTTAGTGCAATGACTCGAGGTTTACTGGTTTATTCCACACATTGATGTAATTTGCCTTACATCACACGACCTGCAGTGTGACTTGCACATGTACTTTGTGATGACAATGTTCAAACGATACATCGTGCAGCTTTATTTGAAATTGTATTTTCCATGTATTATTTTATTTTACAAAATGAAAGGTAGTGAATATTTAAAGGCTCATTTTACAATATAGAATTATAAAATAGTTTCTGATATTCTTTACCTCCTTAGTTTCTCCTTAGCATTGAGAAAGCCAGAGAGGCGAGCTATGTTCCTCCTGAAGAGCAGGTGAGTTAAAACGTTACATTGACTGAATATAGAAACTTTGAGGGTTTTTTTTAAGCAAGATATCTTTTGACAGGTCGAGGACTTTAAAATTCTTCCAGACAATCATGCTCATGCTCGAGACTGTTACTCTTTTGGAATGATGGTGGAGGCTCTCATCCCTCTCCTGAATGATTACGGTGAGTAGAGACAATCTTGGACATTATTTTGCGTCTCGTCAGATTTACTCTCGTTCTCATGTTTTGCTCCTGGTCTTTGTCATTTCCAGTGTCACAGGAGCTGTCCAACAGTCTGACAAAAACTCTGCAGGCTGGCCTGCTGAACTCTGACCCCATGGCTCGACCATTACTTAGCTCCTTACTGACTCATGACTTTTTCAGGTTTGTGTGTTTTCTTTCATCTTTTCATCAGTTTGAAGTGACAAAAGTTTGCTTTCAAACTTTCTTCTTTTCTGTATCTTATGAATAGGAATGACTTTCTAGAAGTGATGAATTTTCTGAAGAGTCTCACCCTGAAGACCGAAGAGGAGAAAAATGAATTCTTTAAGTGAGACATGTAACGGTTGTTCAGTCTTTTAAATGTAGGTACAGAATCTGACAGTCTCATAATATGCTGGTTGTTATTTTTAGGTTTCTTCTAGACCATGTCCAGACACTTCCTGAAGAGCTGATAGCTGCACGTCTCATTCCCAAACTTCTCAACTCGCTTGTTTTCGCAGAGCCGATGGCAGTCAAGAGTTTCCTGCCTCATCTTCTAAGGCCAAAGAAAGGTAATGTGAATTTAATTTTACWTAAATAAACATTTAAAGGTGTCTGMATGAATTGCTCATATTTTCCCCTCTGTGTGAACAGATACCAGTCATGGTAGTAGCAGTGAAGATTGTCTGCTGTCTGTGGCCCTTTACCGTAAACATGTGATACCTCAGCTACTAAAGCTCTACAAAGTCAAAGAGGAACATGTTCAGATTGTGCTCTTGACTCACATCCACCTCTATGCTGAGTTCTTCTCCCACGATGAACTTAAAAACCAGATCRTACCTCAGGTAAAGTGCCCACAGAAAATACATTGAATACTTACGAATGTAGAGATGTTAAAGTGACAGAAAGGAAGAGATTAATCCAACATTTCTCTCACGACCCCCATAAACTGGCCTTGCTGTGACTCTTCCTGTTCTTAACGTTTTGTCTGTTGTTGGCTGCAGATTTTGTTAGGAATGAGAGACACAAACGATGCTCTGGTTGCCATGACCCTGCAGAGTTTGGCGGTGTTGGTTCCTCTGCTGGGGGCTCAGGTGGTGGTTGGTGGGGAGAGAACAAAGGTCTTTAAACGCACCACTCCCAGTTTTACCAAGTCTGCAGAGGTCACCCCTGAAGGTAAGCAAGAACYTTTAAACCACATAAACTCTCCTACCTCAGCCTGGTTTAAATCAGACCCTGTCCTTCACTTTACTTCGTACAAGGGTCTGGACTTTATGCATAGAGAATCGATTTCTTACAGGAGGCGTGGCCTCTGCTGAAGTTTAAAATGATTGGATCAGTTGGCTGCGACGTATGTCGCTGTGAAGGAGGCTAAGCTAAGAAGCTAACCGGAAATTGCGTGTGGTGTAAACAACCCTACTGAGAGGAGAGCAGTACCGAGCCAAACGAGATGACTGTAAATGAGAGCTGCTGCTTTGTCAGACAAATTTAATTTAATTTGGAAAACTTATCAACACAGACTGGCTTCATTCACTTCCTCCACTGTCGTATGCTAAATTAACTAGCAGACACCGCAGAAAGTCGACGTCCAAAGCTCCTCCTTCTGTTCTCTGATTGGCCCAGGTAAAATAAACTACAAGCAGACACTGTGCAGAAAATTGATGTTCTGTTTGGTTCGGCTAAAAATCTGCCAGTGAAATCCATCTCAATGGGAGAAGTCCCAGACAGAGCAGTGAAGGGAAACTAGAGTTGAGTGGAGCTGCATAGGAAGGCAAGGGCCAGGCTACTCCTACCTATCAGTTTGACAAAAATAAAGTGAAAACAGAAAGTGCCGTATTTAGGCTTTGTTCCAAATATGTGCCTTACATTTCTCTTTCAAGTACCGTAGTCAAATGATTTATTAAACTAAAACCTGTTAAACACTAAAATACTGTGGTTTCATAAAGAAAGCACCAAGCATAATCAGCAGTACTGAAATTCAACAG